AAAATCCACACCTTTTACAACATATTCTTCTCTTCAATTGGGTCAAATAAAAATTGAATCGCAAAAAGAAAGCGACTAATGAGTAGGCAATTATAAGCACATTGATTGTGCTTCCATTCAGTTCGACGAATGTCCAACGGTTCTAAAAATAGACAATCCAAAATAAAACAATTTCGAAAAACGGATACACATCACCGGCTGTTTGACAATAACGCTTGATTTTAGTGTTTCGAACTGAATGGTTTTTGTAGAACTCAGAACTTTGATCATTTATATTTATAGGTAACATATTTTCACCCCCGCGCTCGCGTTCATCACAAATATCTCTCTTTCTCTATGATGCTACAGCATATTGTGTTGCATTTATGTTTTGTCTCAAACAATCGTAGCAACGCTGTAACAACACCATCCCAGTCAACACCATCGTCACCACCGATGATGACAAAAGAAACAGAAAAAGAGAATAAAAACAAAACAAAACGGTTCGTTTCAACGTAAAAATGAATGAAGATGTAAATGCACACAGATGTTCAAACACAAACGCCAGCGAGAAAACGTAATTTTCTTTCGTTTAGTTTGAATCAGCGTTGGTGTGTGTGTTTTGCTTGTGTGTGACGAACGAAATAGTAAAATAGATGCTTGACCCCTGTCCACTATTTATAGATTTTTGTTTTGTTCGATTTTGTTTTTGTTGTATCGAAATACTCATTTTTAGTAAACAACAACAACAGAAGCAGCAGCAGCAACAACAGCACCCCTCACCAGTTCGTAAAAGTACCGTGAACCGAAAAAGTATAGCATTATTACACATATTGCTGCTATTATATTATATAAATGACGATGAAGATTGGATATTGCACTAGATCTTGCTGGACGCGCGCGTTTCAACATGTACAACCAAAATCCCGTTCGTCCATTGCACGTATCTAATTGTACTCAGACAAACACGCGCGCATTCGCTTACATTAGTCGAGTATTTTTCATCTCTCATTCGGATATATTTGTCTGTCGTTTTGTTTAGGTTTAGCGCGCGCTAAATACAGAGAGAAAACGTGTGCCAAAAAATATATCAGAGTATTGGTTGCGAGGGCGATAAGCGAATGAGACGTTAAGAGGTGAGTGTGTTCGGGTTCGAGGGTGCGATTCACAGTTATAAACTGTCCGTGTCCTGCTCTCTATTCGCCATTCAGGAAAATTAATGACATTAGTCTTTGTCTCTCTCTGTGTGTTCGGTATGTGTATGTGTGCTTAGGTGGCCGATGTCCTTTGTTATACAGAATCGATCGTCAACATAAATCAGTAAAGCGCTCTATATACGTATAACGAGATTAATAGTTCGAATGCATATTTCGATATGCATTTGTCTTGGCCATTTGTTGCTTTTTCGCCATCATCATTTCTCTTCTTATTCGTTTTGGCGAAAAAAAAATACTGTTCCATATTTTATGCTTAAGTAAATTGCAATAAAAATCGTTGCCTCTTTGATATTGAAGCGCGCGCAAAAAAAATAGAGGGGTCAATCAACATCATAAAAAATATATTTAAATAAACGAATATTGTTTTTATCCACTTGCATTTCATGGTAGCAGAGAGGAATAAAAAAAAATTACGAAAATTGAAGCAATAAATTTATTTATGGATTCAGAACACACCGAAGAGGGAGCGGAATAGAGAGAGAGAAAAATCAAAAAAGATGCAAAAGATGTATGGCTAGGCAAAAAATAGAGACCTGTAATTTAGCCCATAGCTCTCATACTTTATATAGTCAATGATTTGCCTTTTTTTATGTCTTATTTGGAAATTGTAATTATATCCAGTGCGCAATGCATTGCACCAGTCCGGCCATTCATGCATATATTTTTTGTTTCGTTTATATGTTTGAGCATATGAAAATTGCCAGTATTAAATTGTGTTATGTGCATAGTTACATGGTCGATGTATCCATATGTACATATGTTCAACTTCGGGTCTGTTTTTTTTCGCTCTCTGCACTCTCTCTCTCTCTCTCACAACGAAGATGTGCTATAAATTTAACGACGCAACATTACGCTGCACACCGACAAATATATTCTCACTGGCGAGATTTTCATTGAGTATTAATTTTCAGCCGTTGTCTTACCGTACGGAATGATAAACAAAGAACCAGCAACGTCGAACGATACGAGCAACAAAAAAAATATCGCTATTATAATTACTAATTACAACTCTGTATTTAAAGATTTTCTGTGTTTTTTTTTCGCCAACATTTTGAATTCATAATACTATGTTTACATTGGTCAAACACAAACATTCATTAATAAATCGGCAACAGTCGGCCGTTGTTGCTGTTGCCGTTGTTTGTATGCTTCTGCGCCAATCGAATAACAAATCAAAATCAAAATCGCTTGTTAATTTCTGACATTTTGCTTAGTACAACTCATTTTTCATACGAATTGATACTTCTTGTTAATTCTCTCGTCTTTTTTTCTCATTCACTGTAATGCAAATATTACAATTTATGTTGCTTTAGTTTCAGATAAAAACGAATTGAACTCATCGCTAATGTTTTATTTATCACATCGTTGGAATATAAAAATGGAAATCAAGCGAAAAGCGAAGACATGAGAAAAAAAATCATCGGATGTATGGAGGGAATCGCCAACTTATACAGAGAGACGATGAAAATACACATTGATTTACTGAGAAACTGATCGAAATATTTGAAATTTAAATTCCACAAAACGGAAAGATGCAATCGAGAAGTGGACATAGCAAAACATTGAATTGCCAATGTGCTCTTTTTGTGCACAAACAAAAATATATGCTCTTTCTTGAGTTTTTTTTTCTGTCTACTTATTCCTTTGGTTCGATGCAAACGCAGCAATAGATTTCCATTAACGGTACAAAAAGCACATCGGATAGAGGAAATTTCCTGCGAATTGAACTATATTTTTCTTTGCAAAATTCTGGTGATTGCATTTCTTTGAATTTTGTCGTCCGACTCCAACTCGAATACACTTTGAATTTTCTACAATATATATGCTAAATTACGGAATAATCAATTCGCTAAATAAAAATGTATTTCAAGTGGTTGATCGAAGAAGACGGCCAAAAAAAAAGGTTGATAGAAAGAAAATAAGCATGCTCTTTTCCAAATCAACAACGCAAAATTGCAAAAGTACACACAAAGTCCAATGAATTCGCCATTTCTATTGCTCTCTCCATCTCTTTTTTTTTCCTTTTTAACGGGTTGAATCATTGAAGTTTAAGTAAAAGAGTATTTATTTAAGCAAAATAAAGAGCAACAAAAACGGCATTCAAAGCGAATCCTTTTCTTTTCAGCTCGGCCAAGGAGCTGTGGTTTTCCCATTCAAATGAAAGGAAAACGCCAAATAGAAACAACAATACGGAAAAAAGAATGGAATTTGAATGGATCGGCACGAGGAATAAATCAAGAAAATTCAAATGGATGAATATTTGTGCATTGGTGAAAGTTCTTTGATCACATCATAAGCACACGATATAAATGTAAATACGCACGTCGATAGTTGGTCTTTTTTTCCTTTTTTCCTCTCTCCAACCCTCCCGATTCTTCGATATTTCCGTATTGTTGTTGGATGTTATTTGCGGTCCAGTACATCGCCAATACATACAGTACTGTATGTGCATTTGAAAGAGCCAAGCTCCTTTTCTCCTTGTTTACACTATTTACTGAACGTATTACATGGTACAGTTAAAATTTAGGGTACATTTTCGTTAATACTCTGCTCGTTTCGTTTGACCGCTTGTTTCTTTTCACTTGATTCAGTCACCAGTTTTCCATTTGGTCGTTTTATATTTTTTTTTTTAAATTTTCAATTTCGTCTTACTTCCTGAGGGTTGTTTGAAGATGAATAATGAAAATACGGTGTTTGAATTTAAATTAATTTCATTTGAATTTTGGTTCTGCATCGGTCGACGCACAACGAAAAAGAAAAATCGAAATCAAATTGATGTGGACTGTTTGAACGAATCGATTGAAGGGAATATGGTTTGAAAAAATAAGCAACGAAATATTTCGGATTTTTTTAGCAAAATAAATCGGGAAAAAAGTTCACGGTCAATGGCATTTTGTGAGTAGACCATGAGGTAATGTAATTGTCCATATTGCCCATTTATCATATATGTGTGTGTGCAGTGTACACAGAAATCTAAGTATACTGAGTAAAATTGCTTACAATTTAGTTGAAATGACCATTTGGATAAAAGTCGAGTCGAGAAAACGATGAAAAATCAATCGACATGATGACGGAAAATACCATAAACTTAATAAATGTTTAATGCGCGCTCACAAATGGCATGTCGTCGCTTTTTTTTCGTCGCTATGCTCTCTTCAATTTTCTCGATGGTGTTAGGTTGTAAGTGTGTGCGCCATTAGTGACAGGTCTAGACAATTGACTAATGTGATGTCTTTGTTTACTCTTATTACGCTTGATGTTCGCTCTCTTTTCAATTTATATACGCTCCATCCGACAATGCGCGCGTGTGTGTATGTTCTCGACGGAATTAGAACGAACCGGCTACGGTGAATGTTATAATTTGCGCGTGCACGCACAACCCAATGTAGAACGAACAAATTGGTAAATGGCAATGGCCGATGGGGCCGAATGCAAGTGCAAATTCATCTCAATATAAAATCATGTCCATTTAATGGTGTTTTGCTGTACGTGTATATTTGTAACATAATCAGCTGTGAACTGTCACAACAAGCTGCCGCATAACATATTTATGATGTGTACTAACTGCAACTGGCTCACCAACCAGAGAACAGTTCAATTTCAACCCGATCCGTACATTCTTTGTTTACCATAAGCTACAATCTAACACGTCGTAATTACAATGATTTTGGGCACTTAAACGCATGCGAGAAAGAAACTCTGGCAAAAAGCAAATCGCAGAGGAAGAGCGGAAAGATATACACTTATACAAAATGAAATGTTACAGGCATATTTATAAACGAGCATGCATTGGACTTTACTTACCGGACGTTTTCCCAGAAGCGATATTTGTGACTCGATCAACAACACCACCGCCGCCGCTGCCTCCTATCACAAAGTCTCTGATGCGATTACTAGAGCTAAAGGGCTTTTCGTGTTCGTCCAATTGTTTATGCTTTTGCTTTCGTTGCAATTGATGTTGCTGGTGCTGTAGTATCAATCGATCGCGCTCTTGAAAATGTGTTGCCAACGCAATGCGATCCTGTTCAACGGCCGACGATATGATTGCATTGGCCGCATTCTCAATGTTTGCTGTGGTCGCGATGCCACCATGGTTATTGCCACCACCACCGCCGCCGCCGCTGGCATTTGTTGCATTCACATCGGCGGCCAATAATTTACTTTGCTGCTGTTGTAGTAGCAACTCTCTAAATGGTATGCTACTGTTCATTTGCTTCGGTTTATTGTGTGTCGATTGCGTTGTCATCGATGATGAGGCTGATAGAGTTGTCACCGGGCGGTGCCACTGCATATCTGCGAATTATAAACAATTGGGAACAACTTCGTATTACCATTAAAAAATAAACATTTTTTTTGTATGGCGAGACAAATGAAAGGTAAAAAGGCGCGAAAAATAAACAGAATAAAAAAAAATGACAAATCGAGAGAAGAAGCTGAGACACGGTGTGGGAAAGATGAAAGATCTTGGCGTGCGCGTGAATGCCATTTTATTTATTAACATGTAGTTTACTTTGCCATTAAGCAATCGTTTGAATCACTGCATTCATATATCAGTTTCATGGCAAAGTCTCACTCGTTCACATCTCTCACACTAGATACCGTCTCTGTTTTATTCCATACATCTTTCGGCTATAGAGAATTACGCGAATGACCCGTTGCGCGTTCTCATTTACGATGTGTGTACAATGTGGCTTACGGCTTATCTAATGTGTTTTATATCAACCATCTCTCTCTTTTGCTCGTCTCGTTTATTTTGTATTATTTGTCATTCACAATGAAATGGCATTTTTCTTTCTTTTTTTTCATTCTCATCGCAGTAGTCGACGTTTATATTCTCTTTCTTCACTCCTCTATCGCTCTTTCTTTATTTTCCTCTCTGAATCTCTCTCAATCCAGACAAACGAACTCATAATGCATACAACAATGGTCAAACATGTCATGCGCGCAACTTGATTCAACGATCGATATTACCCTAATAAATTTCATAATAAGTCTTCATCGGGTCCAACAACAGAGAGCCAGCGGTCAGTGAATCTTTCCACTTCTCTATTTTCTCTCTTTCTCCATTATGCATGCATTGTGCGATGCTATTTTCCAGTTTTCATCGCCATGTTTTTTTTTTCTTTTCATCGAATTTCATAAAAATCATGTTACGTTCGCTAAATTTCGTCTTTTATACTGTCATATCTCGAGAAAATTAGCTGTGAACTGATTTTCAAAAAATATAACATCAACAACGACATCAATTTCATTTATTAGCCAATTCCGTTGCCTCATGCGAATTCATGTTTTCGATATCTTGTTTTTTCTGCTCTTCAATTCGATAACGGAAAGAAAATATTAGAACCAATGCAGTGTGTAAATAAGTCATGAAAAGAAAACTGCCAAAGGACTCCTTTCTCCAAAACAAAATCAGAGAGAGAGAGAAATGAGCGAAACATTTTGATACAAGACACATATACACAATGTATATTATTCGCCGCCATCGTGATATATGGCCGATGTGCATTCGTTGAGCATTGGCGTGTTTGTGCTGAGAAAATGACGTTGATGTTTGTAACGGAATTAAAAATTACATGAAATCTACACAACAAACAACAATCTGTTTACCTGGTGCGCGGGCTGTTTACGTTTCGTTTTTTTTTTTTCTTCTTCTTCACTCATTCTCCCAAATCTCAATCGGAGCGTGTGCTTAACTCGTGCGCGCCAAAAAATATGTTTCTTTATAATCGTAAACACAAATAGTATATGTGTAATATAATAAGAGCGAATCAACGAATAGGAACATATTTGAACGGAACCCTTTTTGCCTGACTGAATGTGTTTGTGTACGCTTCACATTTTTTATTCATTCGCATACATGTTCAAAATGTTTTATCCTTCCCCCCGTGTCGGAATACGCATGCATGACAACAACCAAGAACGAAGAAAAAAAAATCGGGACGTGAAAACGTTGAAAAATGCTGTTGCACACACACAAAGGCACGCCACTCAAATCAGAGCTGCTTTTTATGCTTCTACCCCTGCGCGCACGTTTTTTAACACATCCTATCTTTTTACATATTTTTTTTTATCCCTGTCATCCTCTTCGTACATATGCATTTCGTTCGCGTAATTTCATTCGCTTCGCACTTTTCCATGTCACAAGTTTGGTGCTGGTTCGCTGGCAATTCGACGATTATACACATCAACATATCAATCGTGAATGTATTAGGCGAGTCATTGATGATATGGCATATACACAGAACAAAACAAAAAAACATAAAAGGGATAATATTCGTTACATTATATGCCAATGATATTTCACTGTTGTTATTATTTTAATGCGATATGCACAGATTTTCTATACCATTTGTGATGAACAACAACAACACCATTTTTTAACGGGTAACGAAACAATTATATTAACGTACGGAAAGAGAGGAATTAAGAGCCACCTTTAAATGTCGTTATGAATTCGGTTGAAAATTTTGATTTCATTTTTTAAAGCGATAAAAATGCAACTGTATAATTTTGGTATGTCGATAGAGCTAATGCAGTTAATTTCAATTTGTATGGGCCATTTGGTAGATAAATTCATTTTATAATTTCGACGAACGCCATTTTGCAGAGTTCAGTTTCGGCGATTTTCAAGTGAAATCTACTGGAAGAATGATTAAATTATAAATTCGATCTATGGTGATTTCGAACGTTCGAACAAATGTCAGATTTTTAATGTGGTGCATTGAACATTTGTCTTTGGTCACCAGAAGATATTTTGAATGTTTCATTTACAGTTCCGAAATTGATTTTGATAAAATTTAATCTCATACATCTATGCCTACCCAGATGCCTACTTGACACTTTTTTATCTTTGTAAACTTAGGTGGCGGTTGAAAAATTCTGTCAACATTTTTAAATTAGTCAAACAAGAACGTAGAAATGGCAAGACAAGAAGTCAAAACTATCTAAATGAAGTGAAATTAACAAGTAAATCTAGTGGCATGTGAGAGCAATGAGTAGAATAATTCCTATGTTAAAAAATCGAGTTCATAACTTTGCCAGCAGATTTGCCGAAGAATTTGCGAGAAATATTCAAAGGGATATTCAAATAGACGGTTCAAATTGGCGACCACAATATTTTTGGGATGTTTTGGAGATTTATTCAATTGGACTTCGTGTTAATGTCTTTCATATATTTTTTCGAGAATATTTAAGACTTGAAAGAGAAAGACAACCGTCGATTGATATCTCAAAAATACATTTTGATCAAGAGTATGTAAATGGTATTGTTAACATATTTTATCAGCACTATGTAGTGGATTTCAAATTTCAGAGTACGCAATGGCTTTGTTTTGGCTAGTGACGTGTTGGAAACTCGATTGGGAGAACAAGAAGCAGAAGCAATAGTTAACCATTTTATCCGAAAAACGAACGAGATATTTGACTCAATCATCACTTATTATTACGATGAAGATAATAATCCAGTCGTCTTTTGATAATTCTAATCGAGTGTTCATCATTGTTCCTTCGGTTTTTGTATCAATTGAGTAAATATGTTGGACTCTATGCGTTCGTTCAGTAATTGTTCGAATGATATTCGAAAGGTATTTCAAAAATAAAAAAAATTGTTAACAATACTGCCTTTGCTTTTAATTTAAATCGCTAGCTATTAACGAGACCTTATCGACTTGACATTCAATTAGATTAATTTGTAATAATTCGTGTTTAATTAAATAAATATCGAATTAATACACTTTCCTCAGCGAATGCTCAGTTGAACATTTGAATTTTGCTCCACGAAAAAAATGTACCCTTGTGCGCACCGTCGCCCATGATTTCTAAGCATTTTAATTAGATTTGCTAATTTCGTGCTAATTTTTCCAACGGAACGAATGCAAAAATTATAATTCATAATTTGTTTGCTCGTCTAATTGATTTCATTTTATCTCGCAGAGAAAAAAAACGGCAGCAACAACACAAGTATTTGGTAAATGTTTGTGTCTGACATTGTGAATTCAGTGAATAAGTGAAGATGGGTTGTTGTGTTTTTTTGTTCTTTGAAAGCGTTTTGCTTTCGTTAAGCTGATGGAAAACAGAGGCCGTCATAAAAGCGAAAAGCGTTCGTTGTGAAAGTGAGCGAGACACGAATATGCACACCGGAAATATCTACAAAACAATAATTTAATTTAGCGAATATCATTAGCTAAAACATTCATTTGCTCGCACATTTGTGTATCAAATCGAGAAAAAAAACGTTGCACACAATGCAGTCGGCATTGACGATGCAAAAAAAACTAACAACAACAACACAGAAACAGTTTGAATTTAAATGTTTGCGTTTTTCGTTTGTGAAGCGCGTTGAGAGTAGCAGAAAAAATAGGGCGAAAAAAAGAAATGCAATTAATACCAAGAAGACAACTGATGAAAAACACCAACAAATCGCATGGTGCAGAAGAACAGCCAGCACACGAAACACTTGAAAGTGCGATTTATTAAAAAAAGAAGGTACCCAAGCGGTAGTTGTGCACAGTTCACATTACCGGTGCTAATTTACTACACATCATAATTGCTATCGTCTTTTTGTCTCTTTCTCTCTCTCTCTCTCGGCGACCGCACACTCCAGCAACAATCTCGCCACACATTCATGTGTCTTTTGAATGGTGAAATGTAAACTAGCGAGAAGAAATGCGATTAATTATAAATTTTTTTTCGATTTTAATTCATTGGATTCGCTTATAGAAGGTGAAGCATGGCAAGACGAGTGTGTATCATCGTCAAGAGAAAGAGCTTGTTATGTGAACAAGAGTCAGTGTATGTTGATGTTGGCATTTTGTTACCATATTTATGCTCTTTGCATAAATTAAATCAAAAAGAGATTTTGATATGCAATTTTTTTCTTACCAACGAATGTGTATGTATGTGTGTGTGTGTGTGTGCTTTTGCATGTAAATTCTTCGGAAATCGCATGGAATGAATCCATGACTAAAGTTGAAGCAAATGAGTACACAATCGTGTTTTCATGCAGAATATGGAAAGACAACATAAAATCCTATTCAAATGATACAATTCTGTTTTTTTTTTTTTCATTCATTTCAATTCACTGTCGACTCCGTTTCTATTTCTCTCCCTCTCAACTCCGCTTGATTCAAGGGAATGTTCGCTCTCTTACATTTAAGTGCGCGAGCTCAATGTGGCAGGTCACTTGGACTACTTTGAATAATAGTTGTAGACTTTTTTCTTCTTAAAACGTAATATAAGTTAAAAACAGAAAAAAATTAGCATTAAGTAATGAGCAAAATATGTAAAAATCC